AATAAATAAGCAAAATATAAATAAGTCTGACATAGCAGTTACTAAGACGGAAAATAAATTAGTAATTCATTTAAATTTCTCAGATATTCTTAATCAGGGTATGAACAGCTGATTTTACTTTTAAAGAAATTTGAATTATTATTGCTTTATATTTAATTCTTAACTTGATTTCTAGTTACTAAACCTCTTCATTAACAGATTGTAAAAATGTAAATGATATTCTTTTGCCTTTCTCCAGATGGCTTCAATTTTCGGTAAGTTTTCGCACGAATTAACGTTTTTTTTTTCATTTTTATTCATCGAATTTATCTTTTTCTCTGATCCTTTCATTCTTCTATTTTGTTGTCTTTACTTTTCTTTGTTTATTTTCTATCCATACATAATTGAAATTATATATATATATATATATATATATATATATATATATATATATATATATATATATATATATATATATATATATATATATATATGTATATATATATGTATGTATGTATGTATATATATATTATATATATATATATATATATATATATATATATATATATATATATATATATATATATATATATAGATATAGATATATATACATATATATATAGATCATCATCATCACCATATTTTCTCGTTGTTTCCCAGGTCATATGAGCCCGTAGATATTTATGTATTATGTTCAAATTTGTGGTAATAATAATGATACTATTTATAAATAAGTTTGTATACTACTATGATATTTATATTTAGTAATATTATATTTAATGCACATTTCTCACAAAATAGTACTGTAATTTACAATTTATTAAAATTGATTTAAAGCTAATCCAGAATATCTAAAAAAAATGTATCAACAGAGGCAGTTGCAATGGACGACGTGGATGTGAATGGGCTCTATCCATCGGCTTCGCAGACTGTGTTAAAAAGTGTCACGAAAAACGAGACGTGTTTGAATGTAAGTTTTGAAATGAGACAGATGAACAATTAATAACACCAATCAAATGTATTAAAAACATTAACAAACAGAAGGAATAGAATAGCTAACACAAAAATGAATGTGATCTGCTTCTTCTTCTTCGTTCTTAATTATTAGTGTTGAAAGGGATCGAGATTTATCTGCCCGTGGGTTTGAACTCGAGACTTTTTCGAATTTATCAACCATGAGCTTTTTGCCGACACGAACTCGCCTCCAACACAATTAAGGATACGTGTCAAATGGTTATACGCCATTGAGGCCATTGACTCAGATTTCAGCTTTGATTTCCTTTTTGGATTTGCTTCCATAGCCTTTGTCCAACCAAGAACAAACTACAAGGCAGCAGTTGTTTGATTTTGGAGTTGTCTCTCCTAGAAGAGTGGCTGTCCCCAGCTAACGAGCCTCATCTGCCCGAGGATTCGAACTCGAGAGAATGTGATGATAACAGGAAAGGATGTAAACAGGAAAGTTATGTGAATAGAATATGTAGCATAAATGTAGGAATTATGTTAAAGGAATAGCTAGCAACAACAGTAGGATTTGTGTGAATAGAATAGCTTGCATACCTTTGACGTTTATAAATCAGAAGAGCTATAGTAATTAGTATTAGTTAATTTGTCGTCTAATTAATAGACAAGAAATGCCATCAAGGCAGTCTTGGCCTTTACCGTTTATCTTGAGTCATTTGCTGAAGTTTTCATGGTCTGGCTCTTCCTCTAAATCCGAGGAATCCAGGCGAAGGCCAGTCTAAATGTCACAGTCTTGGCTTCACAAGAACATCGATTCTATCGACATTTTCTTTGAAGGCGATACGCACATGTATAGTTATTGTTCATGAACTCACTACACTGTCTAGACTGCTTAGCAGTTTCTATTAAAATGAATTGCCTTTTAAATAAAACCAGGTTTACATTTAAAGCTACTTTTATTTTGGCAAAAAAAATTACATTATGAAATAAATGTTATTAGAGGTGTCTTGTTTACAGAGTATTTGACCATGATAACACTTTCTGATTTTCTTGCGGTTTACATCCAATAGGAATTTAAAAAAAAAATTATTATACATTGAATGCCACAATTTTTTATTCTGAAGGTAAAAAAAGAACTACGTGATCTGCAACACTTCCCATCCCCTGACAACTACACAATGGTTGCAAATTACCAAGGAGCTCAAGAAACTATGCCAGATGGCGAGCCTTTCAGCACGTTCGTGTCGAGACTTCACGACGGCTACATTAGCTTTAACAGGAGAGGTTAATCCTGTTCTTGACACGAACTGTGCCACTGGGTAGGCTCCGGTAAAAAAAAAACAACTTTTTTTAATACTAGAGAGCAAACCATTTTTTCCCTTCAGCTTTTTTAAGGGTACATCCGAATGTGCATTTCCTCTAAAATAAATTGACACGTTTTTTTGTGTAACTATTACAACGGCGGCCATCTTGAAAAATTAGCCTCTTCGTACGATTTCCAATTTAAAAATGTGGATATCCTACGAAGAGGTTATTTTTGTATATGGCCGCAGTTGTAATA